TCCCTTTTGAATTAGTTCATTCAGATGTTTGGGGTCCATGTTCTATTATGTTTAAACCTGGATTTAAATATTTTGTTACCTTTGTTGATGACAACTCTCGTGTAACTTGCCTTTATTTAATGAAAAATCGTTTTGAGTTGTTTTCTCATTTTTGTGCCTTTTGTGTTGAAGTTAAAACTCAATTTAATACTTCTGTCCAGACGTTAAGAAGTGATAATGCCAAAGAATATTTTTTGTGTTTTTTTCAGTCTTATATGAGCCAGCATGGTATTCTTCATCAATCCTCTTGTGTTGACACACCGTCCCAAAATGGAGTAGCCGAGAGAAAAAATAGGCACCTTCTTGAAACCGCTCGAGCCTTATTATTTCAAATGCAAGTTCCTAAACAGTTTTGGGCCGATGCAGTTTCCAAAGCCTGTTTTCTAATTAACCGCATGCCTTCCTCTATTATGAATGGTTCCATTCCTTACAATGTTCTCTTCCCGTCTAAGCCTTTGTTTCCTATTGCCCCAGAGATATTTGGTAGTACTTGTTTTGTTCGTGATGTTCAACCCCAGGTAACCAAGTTAGATCCCAAATCTCTTAAATGTGTTTTTCTAGGTTACTCTCGCCTTTAAAAGGGATATCGATGTTATTGTCCTAGTTTTAATAGATATCTGGTGTCACCTGATGTTACTTTCTTAGAAAACACCCTTTTTTTTTTTTCCCACTTCGTCTACTTATACACATCAGGGGAAGGACGATGACTTACTAATCTATATTGCCACATCTCTACCGGCTACTCCCACACCTGAGTCTTCCCCACCTACTATTCCTCCTCCGACACCACCACATGTTCATCCACTACCTCCAATTCACATTGTCTATTCTCGTCGACAGGATTCTCGTCGACAGGAACCTCCTGTACCAGTCCTTTCATCGTTAGACCCAGTCTCCAGTGATCTCGATACCCGTGTTCCTTGTCAAGAAGACACTCAGACTTCATGTCTTACCCAAGACTCTTCGTCGTTGGATCCAACCTTAAGTGATCTTGATCTTCCTATTGCTCTTCGGAAAGGTAAATGTCAGTGTACTTATCATATCTCTTCATTTGTTTCTTATGATCACCTATCATCTACTTCTTGTTCTTTTGTGGCATCACTAGACTCTGTCTCCCTTCCTGCAACTGTTCATGAAGCCTTATCTCATCCTAGTTAGCGTGATGCTATGATAGAAGAAATGAATGCTTTAGATGTTAATGGTACTTGGAACTTGGTTGACTTACCTACTGGAAAGAAGCCTATTGGATGCAAATGGGTGTTTGCTGTTAAAGTAAATCCTGATGGGTCAATGGCTAGGCTTAAAGCTCGTCTTGTAGCTAAAGGCTATGCTCAAACTTATGGAGTGGATTATTCTGACACTTTTTCCCCTGTGGCTAAATTGATTTCTGTTCGCTTATTTATCTCTACGGCGGCTACTCATTCTTGGCCATTACATCAGTTGGACATAAAAAATGCCTTTTTACATGGTGACCTTCAGGAAGAAGTCTATATGGAGCAACCACCTGGATTTGTTGCTCAGGGGGAGTATGGGAAAGTTTGTCATCTTCGCAAATCGTTGTATGGTTTGAAACAGAGTCCACGTGCTTGGTTTGGAAAGTTCAGTGAGGTAGTTGCAAAGTTCGGAATGACAAAGAGCAAGTCTGATCACTCAGTCTTTTACAAACAATCGGCAGTTGGCATTATTCCTCTTGTTGTATATGTTGACGACATTATCACCACTGGGAGTGACACTACAGGGATTTCATTACTTAAGTCATTTCTTCACACTCAGTTTCATACAAAAGATTTAGAAAAGTTGAAGTATTTCTTAGGGGTTAAGGTAACAAGGAGCAAGAAAGGCATCTTCCTCTCTCAAAGGAAATATGTACTTGACTTATTAACTGAGACAGGAAAATTGAGTGCTAAGCCATGCAGTACGCCAATGTTTCCTAATTCGCAACTTACCAAAGATGGTGAACTATTTGAAGTTCTTGAGAGGTATAGAAGACTGGTTGGAAAGTTGAACTATCTAATAGTCACTCGTCCTGATATTGCGTACTCTGTCAGTGTAGTAAGTCAAATCATGTCTTCTCCTACTGTTGAACATTGGGTAGCGTTAGAACAGATTTTGTGTTATCTGAAAGGAGCTCCAGGACGTGGTATTTTGGTACGGAAATCATGGACATAATAATATTGAGTGCTTCTCTTATGCAGATTGGGTGGGTTCCAAGATAGATAGGAGATCCACTACAGGCTACTGTGTTTTTATTAGTGGAAATTTGGTCTCATGGAAAAGTAAGAAGCAAACTGTTGTGTCCCAATCTAGTGCAGAATCAGAATATAGGGCTATGGCCCAGTCTGTGTGTGAAGTAATATGGATATATCAGTTTTTGACTGAAGTTGGTCTTATGGCCTCTTTGCCAACAAAATTATGGTGTGATAACCAAGCCGCTCTTCATATTACTTCTAATCCCGTATTTCATGAACGAACTAAGCACATTGAAATTCACTGTCATTTCATTCATGAGAAAATACAGCAAGGTTTAATTTCTATAGGATATGTGAAGACTGGAGAGCAACTAGGAGATGTTTTCACTAAAGCTTTGAATGGGGTTCGGAATGATTATATTTGTAACAAGCTGGGCATGATTAACATTTATGCTCCATCTTGAGGGGAGTGTTGTAGATAATCCTGCAAAATCTTACAGATATTGCATGATTAAGTGTATAAATCTATAATAGGATATTAGGATTGTAATCAATACATATTATGAACAAATCTGTAAAATAGGAAGTTAGATTTTTTATTTCCTAGATTAGATTATTTATTTCCTAGATTAGTTCTTTATTTTCCTATATATTGATATATAATTTGTCAATACAATATGAAAAATATTACAATCAGTTCTCTGTTTGTAACATTCCCCATAATTTTCGATCAGTAATTTTGGTGGAGGAAGTGACAATTTCAGTCACTATCTTCTTATTGTCCTCTGCCATACTATCCAACAAAGAACTCGTAACTCCACAGATTCACAACAATCTCAACACCAAACAACCCAAGCAAACACAACAACTCCACTGATTCACAACAATCTCAACACTAAACAACCCAAGCAAACACAACAACTTAAACCACCAGGATTCACAACAACTCTAGTATCACATTTTCCAACTCCAAGCCAACACAAAGCATTCCCATTTTGACTAAAAAATGTGATTTACTGCACCAAACCAACAATCAGAGAAGAGAGAAATGATTTACTGCACCAAACCAACAACAGAGAAAAGAGATTTATTGCACCAAACCAAAAAATGATTTACTGCACCAAGCCAACAACTAGAGAAGAGAGAAATCTGAACAGAATCAGCACTCGTCGGAAAAAAAAGAGAAACAAGGTCGCCAAAGATAACAGAGGTCGTCGGAGAGATCAAGAACAACAAAGAACAAAGTCAAACATCGTCGGAAAACAGAATCAGAGGTCAGACGTCGCCGAAAAACAGAGGGAAGGAGTCAGACGTCGCCGGAAGACACAGGGAAGGGGTCAGACGTCGCCAGAAAACACAAGGAAGAGGCCAGACGTCGCCGGAAAACAGAAACAAGCAAATGGGTTTAGGGTTTACGCGTCCAGAGCTCTGATACCATGTTACTCTTTATATTTCACTTATATCAACAGTACAACCTAACTCAAATATATACACACACTCAATAATTACAAATATACCCTTTACCCTTTACACTATATATATACATAGTTTCCAACAATAATCAAGCAGACTTGTGCAAAAACTTCTCAAGCGACCAACATTGTTGCACATCAGAACAAACACCATCTTCATACAAGATATGTGATGATACTTTTTAAGTGGATATGCGTGAAGCTGGATTTTCCAAAAAAAAAAAAAAAGTAGATTGTTTAACAACTACTCAATTCCAAATGATGAGAATATCGATTGTACATTTGCACGTTAGTTCTGAGATGGGTGATCATAGTAACATTCCTTATCATGACATCTATGCTACTGTTTTAGAAGCAAACAAGTTTCCTTGTTTAGGAGAACCAAAGAGCACCTCTTCTCAATTATCCAGAAAAGATTTATATAGGTGTTGCAAAAGAAGAAAAAAAGATGGATGATAAAACAAAAAATGGGTTTGGTAGCTCTCCAATGCATAGAAATTACTTCAAAATCATTTTAACTTTTTTTATTAGGTATATTTGACAATTGATGTCGAAGGTTTCAAGGTATCAAAAGAATAATATATTTGACAATTGCCTTATTACTACATCTTACCTTTTGTTTTAAAAAATGTAAATATGGTCAAATATGTCACTAAAAAACACAAGATAAATTAAAATAGCACGTCTCAAGAAAATAATGTCACAAACACCTGAATGTTATATTAGGATTCAGATAGAAATATTTTCTTTAAAAAGCAAACGATTTTTTACTTTTCCTTTAACACTTCCTTTTTTTGCTTTTTTAGCTTCTACAGCGGTTTTTAAAACTATAATCAACAATTCTTTTCGAAAGCAATATAAAAAAAAGAAAGGAAAAAAGTAAGCTTTTAGAATCTAACCAAAGAGTGCTGCCTAGGTCATTCAACAACAAGGGACATTTGACAAGACAGCAACTTTACCTCTATAATCTAATATCAGTCACAGTGTTACTTTTTCTCTGTAATCTACCATTCGCTCATGTGGAGAATCAAATATGGCACATACGAAATATTATGAAGAGTAACAAATAAAAATAGGCACTTGAAAACAATTCATAAGCTTTTCAAGCGATTTTTTATTTCAAACCGTGTTAGCATTTATTTTAAAGGCCATACCAAAGGAAACATTGGCAAAAAGCAGCAAGTGAGATTTAATAAAGTGGAATCATGATAGCATACACAAACAAACGAGAAAAAAAAAATGGAAATTAATTGGCAAAGATGTAAAAAGAATCACTAACAAGAAATTGGCAAAGATGTACCTATTGCAGCCAAGGGTGATGACAGTTTTTATGATTCCATCAAGCCTCAACTTTTGCTTCTTCCTTGTGATATCAATCGAGATCTGAACAGGCGTCCCATGAGGATAATCTTTGACAGATTTTGTGACGCGTAACCCCATTGCTGAAGCCTTAGACTTTGAGGTTTCAGTAGAAAGCCTTCCTAAGCCAAGCCTCTCTAAGGTTGTGCAATATTCCACATGAGTAATAGAAGGGTTTCTTTTATAAATAATAGCCCCTTCCCATGGCGATCCCGTATCTTCAATGTCATCGTGATCTTCCCACTCGAAAGATTTCGTGTCACCTTCGGTGAACGACTGGTGTTTTGAGTATGTCGAAGCTCTCGCAACAGAGTTCGAAATATTAAGCGGTTTGTTACAGAAACTTATATAAATGGTTTTAGTACTACAACCAAATGGAACAAAATTTCTTAGGTGTGAGGAAGAATGTGTTTGAGGTATCGGATAACAAAGCTTGAATTGGTTAATATGCAACAAAGAAGCAGCAGTAGAAGAGGAGGATATAAGCAACATTTTGGTAATCATGCAAAGGAATAAGCGATTAATTTTGAGAGAGTCGTAGATAAGAAACAATTATAGAAATCTAGCAACAAAATCTGCACAAACACATTGAGAATATATCAGAGAGCAGAAAAAAAAAATCTTAATGGACATGCAGACATGTGAGTAAGTAAAATTTGAAGCAGCAGATTGAAATAAAGAGGAAGAAGTATGGTTGATGAAGAAAGTGACAATAATATGCTCATAGTTCTAAAAGTGTTTGAGTGAAGCATTTATACAAACAAATTGTGTGCAAGTAATTTTATTAAAAACTGTTAGCCAAGGACTTGGCTTTTTTGCTACCACTTTGATAACGAATTCAATGGCACCATTATATTCTACATATTATATAGAGGAAACTAAGAAATGGAATGAAATTTTGTGATAGAAGAATAAGTGGGTTGCAGTCGTATCTTTGAACCTAACATATAGTACCATCGGCCGTCCAGAGAGAACGAAAACGTACAGAAAATTTATATTACCTTCCAATAAAGTTTTCAGTTGCGGCATGTCTTGTAGAAGGCGAGAGTAAAGGAATGCAGATAATAGAAGCCGAAGACTGCACACGTGTGTATATATATATAACTAACAATAATAAAATTTAATTGAAAATAATTTAAGGAGATTTTTTGGAATTTTAGGAAAAAAAAACTGAAGGATTTTTTTCAGGCTTTTCCAACAAATGACTTTCACTTTTTATTAAAGAGTGGTGTTATTAAGCAAACCTAAACTTTTTGAAAGCTCCAAAATCAATCCAAGCTACTAAAAAACTAATTAAAAAAAGGTACTGGACTATACAACTTTTTTGCTCGTTTTAAACACAGTTTTCGAGACATTCAAACATGTTGTTTACCTAACCTTAGTATCAATTAGACGGAGAAGAAAAAGATTCAAAAAGACCCCTTAATTCACCAATAATCGAGATTCACTACAACCTAAGAAAAAACTGATTAGATAAGGTACTGGGTTTATACGGCTTTTCTGCTCGTTTTAAACACAGTTTTCGGGACACTTAAGCATGTTGTTCACCTAACCTCAGTATCGATTAGATGACAAAGAAAAAGATTCAAAAAGACTCATTGATTCAGCCATAATCGGGATCCACTACAAGCTGGGAAAAAACTAAGTAGAAAAAGTTATCGGGACTATGCGGCTTTTCTGCTCATTTTAAATACAGTTTTCGGGACGCTCAAGCATGTTGTTTACCAAACCTCAGCATCGATTAGACAGCAAAGAAAAAGATTCAAAAAGACTCCTCGATTCACCCATAATCGAGATCCACTACAAGCTGGGAAAAAACTGAGTAAAAAAAGGTACTAAGTCTATGCAACTTTTCTGCTCGTTTAAAAAACAGTTTTTGGGATGCTCAAGCATGCTGTCTACCAAACCTTAGTATCGATTAGACGGTGAAGAAAAAGATTCAAAAAGACTCCTTGATTCACTCATAATCGAGATCCACTGCAAGTTGGGAAAAACTAAGTAAAAAAAGGTATTGGGACTATACGGCTTTTCTGCTCGTTTTAAACATAGTTTTCGGGACGCTCAAGCATGCTATTTACCTAACCTTAGTATTGATTAGACGGTGAAGAAAAAAATTCAAAAAGACTCATCGATTCACTCATAATCGAGATCCACTACAAGCTGGGAAAAAACCAAGTAAAAAAATGTATTGGGACAATGCAGCTTTTCTGCTTGTTGTAAACACAGTTTTCAGGATGCTCAAGCATGTTGTTTACGAAACCTCAGTATCGATTAGACGGCAAAAAAAAAGATTCAAAAAGAGTCTTCAATTCGCCCATAATTGAGATCCATTACAAGCTAGGAAAAAACTGAGTAAAAATAAGTACTAGGTCTATGGGGCTTTTTTGCTCGTTTTAAACACAGTTTTCAGGACGTTCAAGCATGTTGTTTACCAAACCTCAGTATCGATTAGACGGCAAAGAAAAAGATTCAAAAAGATTAAAAAAGACTCCTTGATTCACCCATAATCAACATCCACTACAAGCTAGGAAAAAACTGAGTAAAAAAATGTACTACGACTATGCGGCTTTCTGCTCGTCTTAAACATAGTTTTCGGGACACTCAAGCATGTTATTTAGCAAACCTCAATATCGATTAGACGGTGAAGAAAAAGATTCAAAAAGACTCCTTGATTCACCCATAATCGAGATCCACTACAAGCTGGGAAAAAACTGAGTAAAAAAAGGTACTGGGACTATGTAGTATTTCTACTAGTTTTAAACACAGTTTTCAGGACGCTCAAGCATGTTGTTTACCTAACCTCAATATCGATTAGACGGCGAAGAAAAAGATTCAAAAAACTCCTCGATTCACCCATAATCCAGATCCACTACAAGCTGGGAAAAAACTCAGTAAAAAAAGGTATTGTGACTATGCGACTTCTCTGCTCATTTTAAATACAGTTTTAGGATGCTCAAGCATGCTATTCACCTAACCTTGGTATCGATTAGATGGCAAAGAAAAAGATTCAAAAAGACTCCTGGATTCACCCATAATCGAGATCTACTAAAAGCTGGGAAAAAACTAAGTGAAAAAAGGTACTTGGACTATGCGGCTTTTCTGCTCATTTTAAACACAGTTGTTGGGACACTCAAGCATGCTATTTACCAAACATCAGTATTGATTAGATGGCGAAGAAAAGGATTCAAAGAGACTCATAGATTCACCCATAATTGAGATCTACTACAAGCTGGGAAAAAATTGAGTAAAAAAAGGTACTGGGACTATGGAGCTTTTCTGCTCGTTTTAAACACAGTTTCGGGATGCTCAAGCATGTTGTTTACCTAACCTCAGTATCGATTAGACGACGAAGAAAAAGATTCAAAATATTCAAAAAGACTCCTCCATTCACCCATAATCGAGATCCACTACAAGTTAGGAAAAAACTAAGTAACCACAATTTTCAGGATACTCAAGCGTGCCGTTTACCAAACCTCAGTATTGATTAGACAGATAAGAAAAAGATTCAAAAAGACTCCTCAATTCACCCATAATCGAGATCCACTACAAGCTAGGAAAAAACTGAGTAAAAAAAAGGTACTAAGACTATGCGGCTTTTCTGCTCGTTTTAAACACAGTTTTCGGGACGCTCAAGCATGTTGTTTACCAAACCTCAGCATCAATTAGATGGAGAAGAAAAAGATTCAAAAAGACTCCTCGATTCACTCATAATCTAGATCCACTACAAGCTAGGAAAAAACTAAGTAAAAAAAGGTGCTGGTTCTATGCAACTTTTTTACTTGTTTAAAACACAGTTTTTGGGATGCTCAAGCATGTTGTCATCCAAACTTCAATATCAATTAGACGACGAAGAAAAAGATTCAAAAAGACTCCTTGATTCACCCATAATCGAGATCCACTGCAAGATGGGAAAAAATGAGTAAAAAAAGGTATTGGGACTATGCGACTTTTTGCTCGTTTCAAACACAGTTTTCGGGATGCCCAAGCATGCTATTTACCTAACCACAATATTAATTAGACGAAAAAGAAAAAGATTCAAAAAGACTCCTCGATTCACCCATAATTGAGATCCACTACAAGTTGGGAAAAAACTGAGTAAAAAAAAGTACAGGGACTATGCGGCTTTTCTTCTTGTTTTAACACAATTTTCAGGACACTCAAGCATATTGTTTACCAAACCTCAGTATTGATTAGATGACAGAGAAAAAGGTTCAAAAACACTCCTCGATTCACCCATAATCGACATCCACTACAAGTTGGGAAAAAACTAAGTAAAAAAAAGTACTAGGTCTATGTGGCTTTTATGTTCGTTTTAAACACAGTTTTCAAGACGCTCACGCATGATGTTTACCAAACCTCAGCATCGATTAGACGGTGAAAAACTCCTCGATTCACCCATAATCGAGATCCACTACAAGCTAGGAAAAACTAAGTAAAAAAAGGTATTGGGACAATACGGCGTTTAGGGATGGGCACGGGCCAGGGCGGGGCCGGGGACCCCTATCTCCTGCCCCGGCCCGAAAGCCCATGGGTTTTCCCCAATCCCGGCACGAAGCCCGTTCGAGAAATCCCTGAATTAAAGCCCGTTCCCCAAACAGGGCCATTTGGGGGTTTTGTGTCTTTTTGTATCCTTAACCATTTTCTCCAAATTATAATATACCAACCAAAAAGAAATTAGATATATAATACACATATTAAACATAAGAACCATACCATCTAAAAAGAAATTAAATCTACAATGTACATATTAAATATAAAAACCATAATACTAAATTGATAATATATTATAATATGTGACATAATATATAATGTGTTATAATAAATTCTAAATAAATTACACCATATATATAATAATGTCTCTTTAATATATAATGTATTACATATGATACATTATACATATATATTATAATAAATTCTAAATAAATAACTACCACATATATTATAATAAATTCTAAATAAATAGCTATCAATCATAATATAACAAGAGCAATTAGGTAATAGAATTGAAATAAGATCAATGAGGGACAAAAAAAAAAAAAATATAATGATTTATTGATTCATTATAATAAATCAAAACACCAAATAGATATATACTATATATAGGATTACATAAGATTATATATATAGCATATTATGTTAATGCATAACATATATATGTCATATATATATACTTATATAGTTGTTATATATAAAATATAATGTATAATGTCAAATGTCAAATGTATACCAATATAATGTATATGTATAAATATATATATATATATATATATATATATATATATAATATATATATATATATATATATAAATATATATAATAATATAATATATATATCTATATATATAATATATATTATTATTAATTAATTAATCTAGTTTTATATACCTATTTGTTATAGTTTATTAAAATACTTACACAATTATAATTATTATATATATATAATATATATATATATATATATATATATATATATATATAATATATATAAATTATTATTATATAATTAATCTAGTTTTATTTATACCTATTTGTATATAGTTTATAAAATACTTACACAATTATAATTTGTCATGTATAATATATGATTGATTTTCAATATTAAAATTAATATAGGTATATATGATTGATTTTAAATATTAAAATTAATATATATATAATATCGGGCTAGGGCAGGGCGGGCAAGACTTATCTCGGCCGCCTGTCCCCGAATTTCCTTGCTAATTTTAGGCCCGATCCCGGCCCGAAACCCAAATGATTCTGGGAAAATCCACCCCGTTTAGGGCGGGTCAGGGCCCCGCGAGGCCCGGCTTTATGCCCATCCCTAACGAAGTTTCTACTTGTTTTAAACATAGTTTTCAGGATGCTCAAGATGTTGTTATCTAACCTCAGTATAGATTAAGACGGCAAAGAAAAAGACTCAAACAAACTCTCGATTCACCCATAATCGAGTCCAATACAAGTAGGAAAAACTATGTAAAAAAAGGTACTAGGACTATGCGGCTTTTTGCTCGTTTAAAACACAATTTTTGAGACTCTCAAGCGTGTTGTTTAGCTAACCTCAGTATCGATTAGACGGCGAGGAGAA